CGGCCGGTGCGGTTGGGGAGTAAGTGGGTAGAGGAGCTGGACCCCTATTTCACGACTGCCTACTAGTAAATAGACGGGTGATGTTACACTGTAAAGTTCAACAGGGTGATGAAGAACACGAAGCTTTTAATGAAGTTAATTACCCACGAAGGTCTCAGCAAAGACTGATTTTATAGACACCACTAACAGCATACTTCACTACAAATGAAGACTCATTATGAATAAAAAAATCAAGTAATCTTTCTACGTAGGGCTAAATGCAATAAATATACTGCTATTTATTTCAATTGAAGGATATCCAACATGTGTTTCAACCCTCTTTCTCAAAATGGTATCACTTTTCAGCATTTTATTTCATAATTGTAAAACTTTTCGGTTTTCAATAAAATATACTTGTAAGAGTTTATGTGTTACACAGTACTGTTTTACACTGACATTTTTGATGTCACTGCCTTCACAACAGAAACGTCCTCTATTACCAAAAGCAGAGCAACACTGTTAAAACTCCGTGAAAACGTACACTATCCTTTTCTGTTACCAGGTACCATTGCAATCGCTTCTGTTGACTGAGTTTATAGTGAGAAAGCTTAAGCAGAGATTCTTCCAAATAAGCTCTGTCATAGACTCAAATGATAGATTGGGTTGCTGCAGTCTGTTCAATTTGCAGAAGCTCTCTATACTGCTACTAATTATCTGACATTATCGCTGTTTTATAATTAATTAGCAACAAAAATAATAATTACTGTAGTGTATAATATTCACATTTTGTATTCATTCAAATCCATTTGTCCATGAAAATGTTCACTGGGTTACCTACTTGGTATCAGGTAGAATGTTAGTTGAGTTGACTTTCATTAACTTGCTTATACTGAGTGATGGTTGATAGCATACTACAGTAATCAAAAATCTTAATGGTGTTCTACCATTGTGGAGAAAAGATAAAGTATTGAAAATTAAAATATGAGCCAATTGTGCAATTTTACATAATAAACTGCTTGTATGGTGCTTATAGTGGCAGGAAATGTTCTGTGTTTGATGTGAATGATAGCTTATCCTATTGACAACTCTATGAAGAAGTTAGTTACTGTTCTGCTTTTACAGAAGCAGAAATTGAGGCAAAGAAAGGTTAAGAAACTTACCCAAGATCACACGGCTACCCAGTGGTGGAGAGGGACTCGCAGCCCTAGGACTCTTGGCTCCAGAGTCGACAACCTTAACCAACTCATCATGGTGCCTCTTCAGGATTGTCTTATCATAGTTCTTAAAATTTAACTCTTACACATATCATCTTAGAACATTTTAAACATAGCACAAAATAAATCTTCCAGAGCAGTGACATATGAACTTTTTGTTGTCATGGAGGTACAGTTAATGTACAATATTATGTAAGTTTCAGGTGCACAGCAAAGTGATTCACAATTTTTAAAGATTATACTCCAGTTATAGTTATTATGAAATATTGGCTATATTCCCTTGCTGTACAATACATCCTTGTATCTTATTTATTTGATGCCTTGTAGTTTGTCTCTTAATCCCCTACTTCATCTTGCTCCTCCCCCTTCCCTCACCCCACTAATTCGTTCTCTTTATCTGTGAATCTGTTTCTCTTTTGTTATATTCACTAGTTTGTTTAATTTTTAGATTCCATATGAGTATTAACGTGGTATTTGTCTTTCTCTGTCTGACTTTTTTCACTAAGCTGATACCCTCCAGGTCCATCCATTTTGTTACAAATGACAATATTTCATTTTTTATGGCTGAGTAGTATTCCATTGTGTGTGTATATACCTATATATCTCATATTCTTTATCGATAACATTCATCTATTGATGAACATTTAGGTTGCTTCCACATCTTGGATATTTTAAATAATGTTGCTATGAACATTGGGGTGTATTTATCTTTTCAAATTAATCTTTTCATTTCCTTTGGATATATACCCAGGAGTGGAATTGCTGGATCATATGATAGTTCTATTTTTCATTTTTTGAGGAACCTCCGTAGTGTTTTCCATAGTAGCCACACCAGTTTACATTCCCACCAACAGCATACAAGTTTCCTTTTCTCCACATGATAGCCATTCTGGCAGGTGTGAAATGATAGCTCATTGTGGTTTTGATTTTCGTTTCTCTGATGGCTAGCAATGTTAAGCATCTTTTCATGTACCTGTTGGCCATCCATGTGTCTTCTTTGGAAAAATGTCTATTCAGGGCATCTGCGCATTTTTTGATTGGGTTGTTTTGTTCTGATATTGAATTGTATGAGCTGTCTATATAGTTTGGATAATAAACCCGTAACAGACATATCATTTGCAAATATTTTCTCCTATTCAGAAGGTTTTTCATTTTGTCAGTGGGTTCCTCTGCTGTGCAAAAGCTTTTAAGTTTAATTAGGTCCAATTTGTTTATTTTTGCTTCTGTTTTCTTTGCCTTAGGAGACAGATCCAAAAGACTGTTGCTACTTTTATGTCAAAGATTGTTCTGATTATGTTTTCTTCCAGGAGTTTTATGGTTTCCATCTTACATTTAGGTCTTTAATCCATTTTGAGTTTATTTTGGGGGATGTGAGAAAATGTCCTAATTTCATTCTTTAACACATAGCCATCCAGTTTTCCTAGCACCACTTATTGAAGAGAATGTCTTTTCTCCATTGTATATTCTTGCCTCCTTTGTCCTAGATTAATTGTTCATAGTGTGTGAGTTTATTTCTGGACTCTCTATTCTGTTCCACT